ATGATAAAGTCCGAAAATATAGCCGGGTGGAAATTTTCTATGCAACGCCCATATCGACGGGCGTGGCACTTGGCTAATTTTACAAAATTGCGATTTTCAAACTATCTTATAACTAAGAAAAACTATTGTGGAGAGAGATGCATTTTATTTACCAACAACTTGGCTATGGACAGTTTCCGGTCTGGATTTATCGTATGCCAGTGGCGGATCCAGCAGGGGGATATTTGGGGTTAAACTACGTATCAGTCAGGGGCGGACCGTGGAGGTGGTTTTTAATATGGCGCATATGTATGTACAATATGGCGTCTATGTACTAAAACAGTCCCCGTGGGCCCGCCACTGACTGACACGCAGTTTAACCCCCGAAAACCCCTGCTTGCACTGCCACTGACGTATGCACATATATTATTAAGTACAATCTTGTTAGCAAAAATATTCTAAGTAAGGCCTCTTAGGGAGTAGCACTCAAATAAAATAGCAACTAAGATAATTACGTTGGAAAGTTTAAAACAAGGTTGCAATAAATTTACTATGGTAATCATTCTGAAACTTGATAGAATTCTTTAAGAAATTTCATCAGAAACAAAATTATTTCTTGGTTTAATTAAATAAACATGAATTTCACGTTAAAAGCTGTGCGAAAATTCAGGTTAGTTATGTTACAGAAAAGCTCTGCCTAGAATTTCTGTGTATTGAAATCGAAAAGCGGCTGTTTGCAATACGATTTCATTTCCTACTGGGTAGCTATTGCTGTTAGTGGATTTGGTAAATGGAAACTGCAAGTCTTTGTGTATTTTTGGGAATTAAATCTATGTAGTTATATGGTTTGTTACATTTGTCTGCATATTCGAGCGTATTTACACAGAGCAGTAAACGAACGACATACTGTATTACAAACTTATAGTTGACCATATCAATGGCACTCTGGCATTTACAATGTGGTTGCAATCTCACAGTCCGCTTACCTGTCCATGTTGGGTGTTGTAGGTTGACCTGACCCTCATCTGTAGTGAAGTATCAATTTATAATCGCATACAACATTCATTATTTGTTATCAAGTTTTAGTTTTTCGTGGTTTCCGTTACAATTTCAAATACTGTTTTTTTTTTTTGGTTTTTCGCTCATTGTTTTTTCTTTTCGAACATTTAGTAGATTTTTCAGGTGTGTGTTTGTAGTTTGGTTTGATTGCAGAAATACATA